TGATTGAACTCCTGCAGACGCTGTGTCCAACACCAACTTTACCTTCCTTTGTTCGGCCATTGACATGTTCTCTTATTATCAGAGTCCTGTTATAAACCCGTATTTGCCATAAAGAAGTCCCTTGCTGTGGACCATAACCAGTCAGTCTCAAGCGGCCTGGGCAGACAGCCCCGCTTACAAAATACAACGAAAATGTTCGAAGCCCCGAAACCTAATCCCGAGGTAAAGATTAAAAGTCGCCTGGGAACAAAATTCCGTTCAGCAGGAGGACCCTGGAAGAGCATCAGAGGAAGGGCGTGGGCGCCAGGATGAAGCGTGTGGGTGGGGGCCGCGAAGAGGCAGAGGAGGCAGCAGAACGGAACGTAGCCTTTTCCCTGTGTACCTGCACAGGGTGCCGCTGCTCCTCGTTAGAGGGTTAGAGAGTCCTTCCATCTTACGAGCGCTGGCATAGCCCGTCATATCTGTGTGTGAGTGCATAGATCTATGATAATTCCTTTATTATCTGTAGTCCCCCATGGACCACTTCAAACCTTACCCTCTTTGCTTCCGGAGGCTACCTGGCTCGTGTTAGACAGGAAGACGTATCGATGAAGATTGCCACCCATCCCCGTGTTCTAGTTCCCACTTCTAGGGGTGGTTCCCTGCCTGCCGGGTTCTGTGCTCCTCACATACCTCTCAGCCCTCTTCGCATTTTTTTTTTTTTTGCATCTGTGAAACTCAGGCTCACTTGTCAGGTCTGAGCTGAGCTATAGACTGCTACCTTTCTCAGACTTTGCTAGCTAGTCTCCAGGCCTGCGCCGTGGTGTCTAGTTAGACTGCTGACTGCCCTACTTACACAAGGAGAAACCCCATCGGTGCAGAGAGATCACGTCTCTTTCATTCCTGAGAGCCCAGCACACCGTAGTCACTCTAGGATGCCTCTAGAATGAGTGGCTGTATCTGTCGTAATGCACCCTCTCTGTTAATTAGATGAACTATTTTTTAAAATACTTTATTTATTTATTGTGTATACAGCCTTCTGCCTACAGGCCAGCAGAGGGTACCAGATCTCATTCAAGGTGGTTGTGAGCCACCATGTGGGTGCCGGGAATTGAACTCAGGACCTCTGGAAGAGCAGCCAGTGCTCTTAACCTCTGAGCCATCTCTCCATCCCCTAGATGAACTATTTTACTAATTGCTATTTCTCCATCCAAGCTTCATCCTGAAAATCCATACAATAATTTGTGAGCCCAGGCACTGCACTAGTTCCCTTGGCATTGGCATAACAGAAGTCCCTTGGGCTGGTGGGTGACTTATGATCAACAGAAACGTATTCCTTACAATTCTGAGTCTGGGAAGCGCAAGACTGGCATGTTGGAAGATCAGCTTCTGGTGAGAGGCTGATTTCTGGAGTCCTGAAGATGCTAGCAAGCTACGTTTCCATGTGGTATAAGAGATACCGTCTCCTCTATAAGAACACTAATCCTACGTATGAGGGCCCCACCCTTGAGACCCAATTACTCACCAGAGACGCCACTTCCTAACAGCTGATGCCGTTTGAACAGGTCCAAGGGAAAATCAGGGCTTAACACACTAAGTTTCAAAGTATATGAAGATTCAGTCCATACCAGGTACTTACCCAATATTATAGCCAAGTGAACACACATAAACACTTCACCCACGTTAAAGGTTGAGACTCATGCCAAAGTGCAGTGAGGAAATTATAGCTTGTAAAACACTGCCTTCCAAATGTACTGAGACTCCTAAGGGCTGCTTAGTTTACAGGCAACTGGAAATAGTTGTGCATCGGTGTGCAAACTAACCCTGCTAATCCAGGAAGACTCCCACAAGATGGTTGTGATGGAGTCTTATCCTGAGTAAGTAAATGTGGGTGCCCTTGTATTTGGGGCATAGATGCTTAGGACTGAGAGTTTCATCTTGATGGATTTTTCCTGTGATGAATACGGAATGTCCTTCTCTGCCCCTTTTGATTAATTTTAGTTTGAAGTCTATTTTGTTAGATGTTAGGATAGCTACATCCACTTGTTTCTTATATTTATTCGATTGGAAAACCTTTTCCCAACCTTTTACCCTGAGGTAATGTCTGTCTTCGAGGTTGTGAGGTGCATTTCTTGTATGCAGCAGAAGGATGGGTCCTGGATTTTTTTTGCCATTCTGATAGCCTGTGTCTTTTTATAGGTGAATCCAGACCATTGATATTAAGAGATATTAGTGACCAGTGATTGCTAATTCCTGTCATATTTGGTTTTGTTGCTGTTGGTGTGTCCATGTGTTTTTCCCTTCTTTTGGGGTTTGCTGATGTGAAGTTATCTGTTGCCCTTGTTTTTGTGGGTATAGCTAAGTTCCTACTTTTCCTTCTAGTATTTTCTATAGGGCTGAATTTGTGGGTAGATCTTGTTTAAATCTAGTTTTGTCATGGAATATCTCATTTTATCCATATATGGTGATTGAAAGCTTTGGTGGGTAAAGTAGTCTGGGCTCGTCTCTTAGTGTCTACAGAACATCTGTCCAGGACCTCCTGGCTTTCAGAGTTTCCATTGAGAAGTTGGGTGTATTCAGATAGGTCTGCCTTTATATGTTTTTTTTTGTCTTTTTTCTTTGCAGCTCTTAGTATTCTTTCTTTATGTTGTGTTTAGTATTTTGATTATTATACAGTGAGTGGACTTTTTTTTTGGTCCAGACTATTTGGTGTTCAATAAGCTTTTTGTACCTTCATAGGCATATACTTTCTTTAGGTTGGTAGAGTTTTCTTCTATGATTTTGTTGAATATGTTTTCTGTGCCTTGGAGCTGGAATTCTTCTCCTTCTCCTATCTCTATTATTCTGAGGTTTGGTCTTTTCATAGTGTCCCAGATTTCCTGGGTGTTTTGTGTTAAAAATATGTTGACTTTAACAGTCTTTGACCAATAAATCTATTTCCTCCATCATGTCTTCAATGCTGAGATTCTCTCTTTCATCTCTTGCATTCTGTTGGTTGTGCTTGCATCTGTAGTTCCTGTTTGTTTGCCTTGCCTAGATTTTCCAGTTCCAGAATTCCCTCGGTTTGTGTTTTCTTTATTGCCTCCATTTGAATTTTCAAGTCTTGGACTATTTCCTTCATTTGTTTGTTTTTTTTTCTTGGATTTATTGATTTATTCCAATTTTTTGTTTGTCTTTTCCTCCATTTGTTTAAGAGAATTTTTCATTTCCTGTTTTAGGGCCTCTGTCATCTTCATGAAGTTATTTTTAAGGTTGTTTTCTTCTACTTCCTCTGCGTTGGGAAGTTCAAGTCTTGCTGTTGTAGAACGCCTAGTTTCTAGTGCCGCTGTGTTGCTCATTAAGTTGTCAAATGTATTCTTACACCGCCAACCCTTCTTCTGACTGGTGCAGGCGCATCTTGCTCCTCCGTGGGTCATACTTCCTCCAGTTGGTACAAGTGGGTTCGGTGACTCTGGTGGTTGCTCTTCTTGCCATTGTAGAGCAGGGCGTGTGGCTCCTTTGGTTGCTGATGCAGTGGGGGGTAGGGTGGGGAAGATGCTACTGCCTGGTCACTGGGGCTGTGGTAGATGGGTTGGGGCAGGGGATGTGCCCCTGTGTCCTGGGGCCGAGAGAGCTAGAGAGCAGGGCTACCTATCCCGAAGCTCAGACGCTCCAGGTGTAGGTAGGGCGTGTGGCCCTTGGTTCACTGATTGAATCAATTTTCTTTAAGGGTGTGACCTTCAGTAGGTCGGTCACTTCATTGGAGGGTCTCATGGCCAAGGTATATGAGAAGCACAAATTGGACTTGAGAGAGAGAGGGGGGGGTCATATAGATCCAGAAGGAGTGAGTGTGATCAACATTCCATGATTAGGAAAAATAAATATTTTAAGTGTCTAAATTATAAAACAATGGTGGATACTAGGATATCCTATCTTCCTTCTTTTAAGAGATTATGAATTTTGTTTTGCAGTTTTTAATGAATAGCTAGCTAGGTAGAAAATAAAATCATATACCTTTCTGAGTTTTGATAGCGATAATCTTTAAGGAAATTTCTTATGTTGTTGTAATTATTATCATAACCATTATGTCTTGCATTTCCTCTTCTATCTCCTAATTTCAAAACATTTCAGAGGTTTTAAATTCTGTTATCAATATCCGTTGCTTTGAGAATGTATAGCTTCCTGCTGTAACATTTAAAATAAAACCAAAATAAAAGTTATTTTCTGAAAAATAACTACCCAAGTTTCATAAATTTTATTTAAAAAGTAATTCTAATGAACAAATTATTTTCTAAAGATTTAATTTTCATTTTACATGCCAACCCCCATTTCCCCTTCTTCCCCTCTGCCTCCCACCTCTCCCCCTTCTCACCCCCCATTCACTCCTCAGAGGGGCTAAGGCCTTCCTTGGGGAGTCAATAAAGTCTGGCAGGACCAAGCCCCTTCCCGCTGTGTCAAGGCTGAGCAAGGTATCTCACCATAGGGAATGGGCCCCAAAAAAGCCAGTAATGAACTTGTTCAGAACAATATTCAGAATCTTGGAAAAGTGCAATGCAGCATGTTTGGCAACATTAAAGGTTTACTGTATTTTACAGGTATGATATTGTAGTTATGGTGATGACTTTAAGATTTACTATTGTAACTGACATTTGATTCCAGATAAGAAAACAGGAAAGGAAGTAGATAGACAAAGATAAAGATTGGTCATTAATTAGTCACTGGGGTATGTGTAGTATAACATCTACTTGGCATGTGTCTAAAATAATGTACAATTTAAAGTTAAATGAGGCAGTTGCCTCTCCTCAAGGAGCGTGGATAGCTTAAGCTGAGAGAAAACGAATGTTTTTCATTTTCTTAGCAAAGCAAAGGTTTCAGAGTGGCAGTTTATGGGATCTTCCCCCGGTGTTGGAAAAGGCTGTTGCAATTGTTGAGATGTGTCTTCCCTGACGTTGATTTAATTAACTTCCTGTAATATCCACTCAACGAAACGTGTGTGTCTGAGAAGCATCTGTGTTTGTTTGTTTTTTGTTTTTTTCTTTTAGGATTGTAGAAAAGGGATATTACAGTGAGCGGGATGCTGCAGATGCCGTGAAGCAAATCCTGGAGGCCGTGGCGGTGAGTAAGGAGCAGCGGCGGTGTGGGCTAACCGTTGGTCATGTCTTGGCAAGCCAGGGCAGCGGCATGGGCTAACTGTTGGTCATGTCTTGGCAAGCCAGGGCAGTGGCAGCGTGGGCTAACTGTTGGTCATGTCTTGGCAAGCCAGGGCAGCGGCAGCGTGGGCTAACTGTTGGTCATGTCTTGGCAAGCCACGGCGGCAGCGGCGTGGGCTAACTGTTGGTCATGTCTTGGCAAGCCAGGGCAGCGGCGTGGGCTAACTGTTGGTCATGTCTTGGCAAGCCAGGGCAGCGGCAGCGTGGGCTAACCGTTGGTCATGTCTTGGCAAGCCAGGGCAGCGGCGTGGGCTAACTGTTGGTCATGTCTTGGCAAGCCAGGGCAGCGGCAGCGTGGGCTAACTGTTGGTCATGTCTTGGCAAGCCAGGGCAGTGGCAGCGTGGGCTAACTGTTGGTCATGTCTTGGCAAGCCAGGGCAGTGGCAGCGTGGGCTAACTGTTGGTCATGTCTTGGCAAGCCAGGGCAGCGGTGTGGGCTAACTGTTGGTCATGTCTTGGCAAGCCAGGGCAGCGGCGTGGGCTAACTGTTGGTCATGTCTTGGCAAGCCAGGGCAGCGGCAGCGTGGGCTAACTGTTGCTCGCCTCCTGCTGCAAAAGGCACCAAGAAGAGCAGCTGTGTGGTCAGCTCTTAAACACAAGCAAAAGGCTGTGGCGTGCTGCAGGAAAACGTGCTTGATCAGTGCACGTGAGGAAGTAAGCGGTGTCTCAAGTCTGGAGGATGCGCCCCCTCCCGGTTTGCGAACGACTCACATCCCATCTTGGGTTCATAGTGGGCCCAACAGATGCTGTTTGTTCGTTCCCACTTCTTCCTCATTCTTTCCAGTTATTCATTTGTCGGTCGGTCTCACGGTTTGATTCAGTTTGTGTGGAAGAGGAAGAAGGTTGACTGAGGTAAAGATAGGCCCTAAAGATTGCTGCTTTTCCTTTAAGATAAGAAATCAATGGACTTGAAGAAAAACAAACCTGACCTTCCTATTTTTGGGGAAAAGCATAAGGTATCTTGGAGTACAACCTTGTACATTAATTGTGGGAGCAAATACACGTTTATGAATATGTAAACTTCAGAATTCGTTTTGGTCTTCAGGTGCTTGCTGTCTAGACGAAACAAATGTTGACTGTGCTGACTAAAATCTTCCAACACAGCCACTGGTTTCTCTTTTCCTCCAATATTTACTTCTATGTATTTATATGCATGTGTGCTTGGGTACGTCATGAGGCCAGAATAGAGTGTCAGAGTCCCCATAGCTGGTGTTATAAACTGCCTACCGGAGTGCTAGCAGTGGAACTCAGGTCCTCTGGGGAGCAGTGAGCCCCCTTAACTGCTGGGCCACCTCTCCAGTGACTGACTGTGACACTGCAGTTAGTCATTGCTGAGTATAAAGCCAAAACAAAATATTTTCTGAGCACACAGAACAGGTCTCAAGGGAGGATGTTTACCAGGATTAATTTTTAAGAATCCGTACACTCTTCCCACATTAATTACACTATTATTCAGTTAGCTGTCATAAAAAGTCACCCAAAGTAGCAAACACGAACACATGTCCCACTGGTTTCACCCACAGGAGAATCATGTGTGGATTGGGAGTGGTTCTGCAGCTAAGAATGCTCGCTGTTGAAGCAGGGACAGGTTTCAAGTACCTGTTACATAGGTTAAGACCCAGGCTCTGCCTCTAGCTGCAGTGCTGGGGTAGAAACCAGAGGGTCCTGTCATTCACTGGCCAACCATCCGAGCAGAAACAGTGAGTGTGGGGTTCACAGAGAGACCCCGTCTCAAGAGATAATATCAAAGGTGGCAATGTAACTCAGCAGCTAAAAGCATTTGCTACCAAGCCCCGGCTCTTGAGTTGTACTCCAGACCCTGTGTGGTAGAAGGAAAGAACTGAACTGTAGGTTTTTTCTCTATTCTCCACACATACTTTATGACACACACACACACACACATGCACACGCTCGCACACATGCACACGCTCGCACGCACGCACGCACATGCACACACACGCACGTACACACGCCAGGCCCTGTGTGGTAGAAGGAAAGAACTGAACTGTAGGTTTTTTCTCTATTCTCCACACATACTTTATGACATACACACACACACATACACACACACACACACACACGCACACACACACACACACACACGCGCGCACGCACACACATCACTTTGTCCAAATAAGTCAGGCAGCAGTTAGGAGCACTCTGGGAGTCAGGGCTGAGTTTGGTTTCTGTGTACATGAGCTTGGGCATATTAATAAATCCCTCAAGCCTTAGTTTCCTCTTCTACAACTGGTGTAACATTCAGCCCAACATGGTTGTGTGAAAGGCCGAGAAAATCTGCAAACCAGAGCCGTGTTGAAAAGAGCAGAGCAGGGCAGACTTGTTCAGTTGACTGTTTGATGTTGTAAATCTGGACAAACAAAAACTGCACAGTTATGCTCAGCTCATGAAAATCCATCCCGTACATTTATTGTGTGTTTGATGTACTACACCAACTAAAAGTTTACAATCTGGGTGATTTGGGGCGTGGGTATAGCTGTCACAGGTGAGTCTTGTGAGGTATTTGCAGTATAGCAACGAGCTTTGTATGCTGTTTCCAGCATCGTGTGATGTTGTTAACCACACAGGTGTATTTCTTTCTGGTGCAATGGTGCCTGTTCTGCATTACACGGGCCATTGTAGAGATGTGACCAGGAAAGACACCTGTGTCCCTCCACGTAACCCCTTGTCTCATGCTCTTCTACTGACAGGACACTTTTTTCTTTTCCAAAATGGGATCATCTTCAAAGGAATTTTGTTCTGCGTGATCTTATTCTTCATTTTTGTGAAAGTAACAGGATACACATGGCAGGCAGGGACTGGGTTTCCTGGACATTTACAGAGTCTGTGAGGAAACTCAGCCAAGCAGCTGCAGTCATCAGGACTGTCTTCTCTGGGTCTTCTCTTACCCAAATTTCCCCATCTCTCGGGCTCCAAGAGCTTGTTCCTCTATTAACACGCGGCCATACAAACCTTTGAGTCTTCCTCAGAGTAGATACAAATACCTCGTGATTCGGTCCAAACTCTGAGACAGACACTGCATTTGGCTCAGCTTGAGTCAGACGAGTCTTCCTTGTCCAGTTTGAGAACTGCTGGTTCTTAGAGTTCGCCTCCATTCCCCATAGAATGTTATGCTCTCCATGTGTGGGGGTCTGTTATGTGCTTTTACAAAAAATGGTGGTTTCGGGGCTGGAGAGATGGCTCCGTGGGTGAGCACTTGCTGCCCTGGCAGAGAACCTGGGTTCAGTTCCCAGCATCCGCAGGGTAGTTTACAACCATCTGTAACTCTAGTTGTAGGGGGATTGCACGCCCTCTTCTCCCAGTCTGTGGACACTGCAAGCACACGGTGCGCTTGGCTGTATGAAGACAAAAAACACTTCACATAAATAAATAGATCTTTTAAAATAAATGAATGCAAATGTATGACAAAATACCAATTTAAAACAAATAAGAATTATTTCACCCTAAGTATGATCTTATTTTGAAGGGAGCCCTCCTTGTGTGACCGGCTGCGGCCATTTTCTGCATTCACGCATCTCTTCCCGTTTGTATCCGGGCTGTCCTGAGTAGGCACATGCAGAAATCTCTTCCTAAAATACTAGCTAGAACTGTGGCTGTGCCCATCAGTCTCCTATCATCTCGATGGCACTGCCACTCAACAGTTGTTTTTCTAAAACCCTAGTGTCCGTCCTTGGCTTGTTACTGCCCAGCCGTCCTATGGAACTTCTCAAGTCTAATTGCGGGCAACAACATGGATTTGAGCATTTGTTTGTTTGTTTTTTATCATTATCATTTCCTGGTTCAAGTTACCATTTATCTTTCATACAACTGCAGAACCGTCTCACTGCAAGACACAGTTCCGTAACCTAACATCTACTCTCCTCACCTGTAGTGATGAGGTCAGCAAATTACGCCAAAACTGCGCCTCCCATGCCCTCTCCAAGCGCCCTTGGTTCAATATCACGTGTTATTGTCTTCGTGAGACAACATTGCTCTGTTTGTGCTTAATACGTGTCAACTAATTCCACCAAAGTGGGAGCTTGGTTCCCACTGTCCCCTTCCTTCCTTCCTTCCTTCCTCCCTCCCTCCCTCCCTCCCTCCCTTCCTTCCTTCCTTCCTCCCTCTCCCCCTTCCTTTCTTTCTCTGTGTAATGGCTTGCCTTGTCTATTCATTTCACAGAAAACAAGGAGGTAGGCCCTGTCCTCCATGAAGGAAGCCGTCCCCCTGCTCCCTCATTGTCATCCATTCATGCTTTTGTGACGTGACCCCGGCAGTCTCCTGCTGGTCCTCTCTAGCTGCCCCCACCATCTGCATAGCTATTGCTCTTTGGGTTGGTCACAGCAAGTCTGTTGCAGCTTAGTAACGCCACCGGTAGACGGCAGAAGAAACCCTGGTGTCCACCAGTGAATGAGAAGAAATGGATGTTCTTAGCATCAGAATTTTCTGCATGCTGGAGTTAACATCGATTAAGGAAATGATGGATCTAGTCAGGGACATCCCAGATAGGGTCCCTCACTTCAAATTGTGGGACAAAAGCCCAAGGCCTCTAGTCTAGGCCTGAAGAGTTTGATTTGCTGTTAATCCTACGTTTTAAAACGATCCCCTTATCCCAATCACAGAATTCTGGTTTAGATTCTAGGACACCACGTTCAGACCAAACGTCCTTGAAACAGGCTACCAAAAGATCTTTGGAACTAAGGATTATCTGAAAGGGAAAACAATAAATGAAACCGTTTCCCTAAATGTTTCACAGGTAGAAAGCAGGGCAGGTTTAAGCCCGTGAGAAATTATTGGCATCTTTTAAAATAGCTTATTGTCGACTACAAAGCTATAGATAGCTATGGAAAATGGGGCATCTGGGGACTCGGGGTAATCTGAAGTCATGCCTTTTAAAACCGAGATATGCCA